TTACCATCCTGACTTGGAAATATCTCACCATTCGTTCACTGTCACTGGTTCAAAATTCTGGAACTCCCTCCCTAGTGGCATTTGGGTTTACCATTACCAAATGGAATGCAGTCATTTGAAAAGGCAGCTCACCACCGCCTTCTCAAGGGCAACGGGGTATAGGCCAACCAGCAAAGCCCAGATATCATGATTTAATTTAAAAAGTTTGCTGTGCTGCAACTTTTGGACAGCCACTTCTACGTCCCTGTCCAGTGCAGTGAGATAAAATCACCTACAATGTATTTGGAATTCCTAAATGATTAGTATTCGGACACTTTTCACTGACATTAGATGAGCATAACTTAGTTGGCCACTATCTGCTATCGACTAACTAGACACCTCATGCGGCTGTTTAATGCAATGATGTTGGTATCAGGAATGATAATAAATTCATTGGGCTCATTTGTGCACCTCAAAAAGACTTAACAATGGAAAAGAAATTGCTATATTAGAGCATCTTAGTGTTTTGCCACTTAAACAAGCACATTTATGTTAAATCCTCTGTCTCTCATACAAATGTATCATGCAGCTTTAATGATGATAGCTTGATAGGGCCAGGAGTTGGCCCTTCAGCCCCTCAAGCATGTTCTACAATTCAATTAGATATTGGTTGATCTATCTCTCTGTGTGGAATTTGCACATTCTCCCTGCTTAAGCTCCTGCTCCGGTTTCCTCCCACAGTCCAAAGATGTGTAGGTTAGTTAGATTGGCCATGCTAAATTGTCTGTAGTGTCTGTAGGTATGTGCATTCCAGATTGATTAGCCATGGTAAATGCAGGGCTATGGAGATAGCATAGGGGTCTGGATCTAGGTAAGATGCTATTCAGAGTATGCTGCAGACTCGATGGGCCGAATGGCCTCTTTCCACACTGTAGGGATTCTACGATTCTGCAATCAGTACAATTAACCTATTATCACAAATGGTTCCATCTCAAAAATCAATGGTCTTAAACTTGAAAATTTCAATTTAAATGGAATGTCTATGGCTTTTTGGGAAAGCAATATCCAGAGTTCGACTACACCTTGCATGAAAAAGGTTCTTCCTAATTTCACTTAATGCAAAATCAGTAATCATAAGATGCACTGTTGTTCTGTCTTTGCCTGCCGGAGAAAAGAATTTCTCTGCAAAATAGTTATAAAGTCACAATGGTCTAACCAAACCACAGGGCTGCTATCTCATCAAAGAAAAATGACTGATGGTGGTTTATCTCAAGGGTTACCATGCCTCAGGTAAGGGGAGAGGATGAGAAGGACAGACCATCATGGTAACCTCAATTAGTGAGGAAATTGAACCCATGATCTTGGCATCATTCTCCATTAAAAACTACCATCCTGTTATTTAAGCCAAACTAATGCCGCTGTGCCACTTTCTAAGTCAGAAGGATTAGGAGTATGAATATGGTTGTACAATACTCCAGCTGTCATAAAGTTATTTTCATGAATTGGATAGTGTTATCATACATATCACCTAGCAGTGGCCCAGATTGGGCAAATCTGAGTCACAACATGATCAGTGGAAGAAATTAGTAGCAGCTACTGTTGAGGGTAGTGTATTGGTTTGGGCTTGTCCTAGAAAAATTCAGGCCCAGGTATTCATTGTTCTATCTGTCATTGCTACTGATCTGAACAAGAAATCTGAAGCTTTATCTCTAATCCTCTTCACGTCCTCAAATTCTGGCATTGACCAGTAGGTTTGTCAGTTGAGCCAGTTCCTGCTCAAACCATTTCCATTCATTGCTGCAGCACCCCCACTACCAGTAGCATTCAAACTTTGCAAAACTATTGATATCCGCAAAGAATATTAACCATCCGGATATTACTAAATCAACTGAAATCATGTGGCATAATGCCAATAATTTAAGTGAAAATTAAGTAATTACATCTTCAACCTAGGAATATAACTGTGGTGTTTTGCCCTTCCAGACTATCAAAGAAAGTCTCTCAACAATGCCTCTTCATGTAAACAATGGTGAAAGACTTCATTTCTGCCAGTGGGAGGGCAGAACATTGAGCTGGGACCACCAAGATAGTGACAGATTATAGGCTAGTAATGTTAGGGCACATTAAAGTGCTGTTTAGAGGGAAAGGTCCCAATGGTGGATGCCTTTCTCACTCCACAGCCTCAAAACCTGCCAAAAAATTAAAAACAAAAATCAGCCATTTTATTACCAAAGGGAAATCTTTTTTCCCTTTCAATTTGGGATGTTTCTCTTCTGGCACTGCTGTTTCATTCTCAATGGCAGTATCTGGTTTACTCCATTGGTCTGGGATCCTGTCCTAATAACTTCTAACCCGGAAAAATGAGTCAAAAATTAGATTGAATGACTGGCTCATTAAACCTAGCTGAATGAGTATCATTGCACACCTCATTACTTTCCCTGAGAAAGTAAAGCCCATAGAGCAAGTTCACCTCTGAGTTGTGGTACAGAATGATTTTTTGACCAGTCTGTGTTCCCCAGTGAGACCGGAAACATTATTCTTCAGTTCATGGGATATCTTAATTGACTTAAAGTGTTGATTAGTCACTACCATTTCTAACTTCTTAATCTTGTTGAAAACCCCTGTTTTTTTTAAACCCTGAGATGACCCATGCCTCAGAATCACAGACTTTCCAACACAATGGGAGTAATTGTTTTTCTATTGTTGAGAAGAAAAATGGATGAATTGTCTTTTACTGATAATCTTTGTGGAAACATTTATTTGTATATTAGCTGTTGTGTCTGTTCCCATCTGTATTTTTTAAATGGGTGGTTCTTTAAGGGTTTGCGATCTTGTGTATGTAAGAGTAGCCATCTTTTAGTCTAATAAGAAGAAATTGTAGAGTAAACAAGATGCAGTTTATTGCTTCTCTGCAACTGTTTACAGGTTGTAAGAACATTTTCTACATTAATATAAAGATCCTTAGGAGCATTTAGTCTTAGATCTGTCTTCCATGAGATCCCACTTTACTCTCTCACTAAAGCTTGATGATGTCATCCAAATGGATATTGCTTACTACACTCAATCAAATATCAATACTTTCCGCCCAGATACAAATTTCTACTCTTTAGTTTAGGTGTACTTTTAAATAGACTGGAAACATCTTTTGCTTTAAAACTGGACATTTAAAGCAATTCATTTTACAAATACTTCCTATGGAAAATGATCAACCAATTGCAAAACATATTTCATTACAGTGTTTCAAGGAATAGAGAAAATTGTAGAATTGGATCTGTATTTGGAATATCAGAAATGATACTCACAGAAGTAATTCTTACACATTGGTAACAGAATTTGTCCAGTGTTAGCTTCAGGCATCATGCTGACTACTTTAACAACAAATAGCCGCATTTCATAGACACAAACTATGGCAAAATAAAGTTAAATAATATTGCATTGAATGATTGCAGACAATTTCAAAATGTCACAAAAATGTTTAAAAAAGTGGGGCACAGTGGCTCAGTGGTTAGCACTGCTGCCTCACAGCGCCAGGGACTGGGTTCGATTCCACCCTCAGGCGACTGTGTGGAGTTTGCACATTCTCCCCGTGTCTGCGTGGGTTTCCTCCGGGTGCCTCCCACAGTCCAAAGATGTGCACGCTAGGTGGATTGGCCATGCTAAATTGCCTGTAGTGTTCAGGGGTGTGTAGGTTAGGTGGGTTATAGGGGTATGGGTCTGGATGGGATGCTCCTAGGGCCAATGTGGACTTGTTGGGCCGAAGGGCCTGTTTCCACACTGTAGGGATTGTATAATTGAGTAGGCCATTTGACCCCTCACCTGCTTTATCATTCAATAAGATCATCTGATTGAAGGCTAAATTCCACTTTCCACCCTGGCCCCATAAGCTAGTATTCACCTGTAGATCAAAAATCTGGCTAACTCAATTTTGAACATTCTGTAACCCATAGCTATCAAACGTAGTCAATTCCAAACACTACTGACCCTCTGAGAAAACGTGAATGGATGTGACAGACTAGGTTAGCCAATCATTGACAAATCTGACTCAGCCAGTGAAAGCAGGCACTGGGTCCTGCCCTCAACCGCCAACTACTGCATCTGCTTTGTCAAACTCCTCAGAATCTTATAGATATTTTTAATCAACTGGGTCAGGCATGTTGCGCCACACCTAAGGGCTTCCTGGCCCAGACGTAGGGACACTACTGCTCCAACACAACCCTAGAAATGACAGTGATGTCGACCCCCAGAATCATATATGTTTCCATAAAAATCACATCTAGTTCTTCCAAATTCCAATGAAAGTATGTCCAATCTGTTAACAATTTTTCATAAGAAAATTCCTTTGTCTCAAGAATCACCTCATTAAATGTTCTCTGAACTCCTTCCAATGCAAAATATACCTCTCCTTAAAACAGGAGGCTAACACTGTATGTGTAGTCTCACCAATACCCTATACAGTTGTGGTAGTAGCAACACTTTCCCACCACTCTTTGATAAAGGCCAACATTCCGTTTACATTACTTACTGTAACTACAAATGCTTATCTTTGTGTTTTTCATGAAAAGGATACCCAGGTCCCTCTGCACCAAAGAAGTCTACAGTTTCACTTTATTTAAATAATATTCGGCTTTTCCACCTTTCCCAGCAAAATGGAAAACCTCATTCCCACATTATATGCCATCTACCCCTTTCTTTGCCCCACTAATTTACCTGCCCTTTTACTTTGCTGTATTACAAATGACTGAAGTCCATAAATGTGTAAATAATGTAGTAGTTTCAAATTAAATAAAGCGTTTATTTCAAAAGTTTTTGTAAATGATAATTGAATGTCAGTCATTTACTTCTGGTCAAACAATAGGTTGTAATTAAGGACAGGTTACTTACTGTAATACTCAACCTTCATTTTCTTCAAACTGCTAAGCTAGAGGAGCTTTTAATTATTATTACTGATTGCAATATAAGTAGTGTAAAGCAGCCTTTTGAAAGTAGGAGGCTTGTTTGAAACCTTATATAAATTTTATTACCTTAAATGCGTTTTGAGTATCTTCCAGACAATAGATCCGTATGCTATACTCCAGTGATGTACATATTCCTGGTGCAAACAGAACTAGCCTCAGGCGCTTTGCTGCAGTCACATTCAGTGATTCACCAACTAGGGTGTATTTGCCCAGTGTCTCAGTAAATATATGGGACATTTGACCATCAAGCTGGCAATAATAAGGATTGGAAGGAATTTCTTTCCCTAGATGTAACACTTCCTGTGGAAAGACAAAGAAAAAGAAAAGTTATGATAAGTGAATTGAATAAAACTTCTCATTGCTAACCAGACTTGTACAGTAGATAAGGATGGACAAAAAAATTGTATATTTTACAGACATGATTGAACTGCACTAATATTTTAGTTGATTAACGTGCTTAAAATATTTGTACATTTGCAATAACGTGAACTTGATCAAGTAGTTTACATATTTAGTGTCCCAGTTAGCTATAGGACTACATTAATGTTCACATACTTCATTTTAAGGAGCCAGTTGTGAGGCTGGTCAGTGAATAATCAAGCAGTGAACGGACTGGTTCACTCTTATTTTTAATAATTAAAGTTAGGATTTGGATTAGATCATGTCACGTCTCAGCACCAATAACAATCATTTTCTGGTGAAGGAATGTTGTTCATTTTCACGTTTCATTGTTATTTCCTGGATGTATGGAATGTTGCTGGCTCAAAATTCTGGATATATTGGCAGTAAGCCTTTAACAGTTTTGGCAGGGGTGGGGAGGTGTCAGTTAGCTCAGTTGGCTGAGCAGCTAATTTGAGATGCAGAGTACCACCAATAGCACAAGTTCAACTCCCATCTTAGTTGAGGTCACCCTGAAGGTCCCACCTTCTCAACATCACCACCTCACCTGTGACACAGTAACATACAGGTTAAACTCACTACCATCATCTCTCTAAAGGCACCATGGTCTTCTACCTTACCCAAATGGCTATTTTTCACACCACAGCTGATACATTAAGTATTTGGAAATGGAGGTCAGTTCAACCGTATGAGATCTTGTATCAGAAATCTCTTTGCAGTAAGAGTTATGAGACCTCAATCAAGAGCAACAAGCTAACTGAATTTTTTTTATCCTTTTTCTAGAGGAATTAAGGTTAATTATGATGATTTAACCTTGCCTTATCTGAAAACAGCTAATTTAGTGTGCAAATTAGAATGGGAATTAAATCTGAGATCTTCTGGTCTCTGTACTCGGTATTTTATTGTGTGGCCTCTACCCACTAGGCTTTTGGGAAAGCCATTGATCAGCTCTAACTCAAGTGGATAACAGAAAGAAAGATTTATATCAATTTTACTGAATGCCATAGGCAGTCTTTGTACCACTGAGTTACAATACCTTTTCAGAGCAATTCCAAATATGTTGAGCGCATAATCTAAGATGACATTTCAATTTGAAAGAGTTCTGTACTAACAGAGATATTATCCATTTGGAGTTAAACTAGAGCCTTTTCTGTTTCCTCAGGTGAGTGATCCCATGAAACTACCTGAAGAAGAGCATGCAAGTCTCCTGATATCTTGATCAGCATTCCTTTCTAAACCATCATTAAAACATTAAAATATTCTGGTCATTCATCTCACTGTTGTTTGTGGTGTCTTATTGTCTACAATTCAGTAATCATGTTTGGCTATATTACACAACTTAATACATTTCAACATCGTGAAATGACCATGAGGTTCTCTGAGGCATCTGATCATATGAAGTGTGCTATCTCAATACCAGCTCTTGCTTTCTCCACCAATGTTCTCAGAAAATACTATCTGTTCCTCAAAAGATTACTTTAGAAATGCACTGATAGCTGTTACATGAGCCTTTTGACACTGGATGATGCTAAGAGAAATCAGACAAATAATCAGCAAATCCGTTTTTTAAAGGTTGTGGTTGAGGGAAGAATATTGACTTCATTACCTGGAGAATTCTATTCTTTTGGCCATGATTGTAAGGGATTTCTAATGTCAACCTAAACCAGTGAAACACTTAATATGGGCCTCAGCTTAATGTTATAGCTTAATGATCTACCTCTGAAATGTAGCATCCCCCCACTTAGTATTGAACTAAAATCATATTTTAGAGGTAAAGTTTTATTTTATTGATAATATTAGAGGCTAGTCAATGTACAGTAATATTAGAATATGCATTATTTGATTATCAATATTCCAGCCCTCCCAATGTCATGAACTTTAAGTCTTAGTCTGTAAGCCTCGGGATAGAGAAATGGGGCTAAATAAACAAAACACATTTTGAAGGATGTACAAGTAAATATATTCCGATAAAACGAAATAAAGAAACATACCAGTACCTCACTGCAGCCAAGTCTAAATACCAAAACTAACCTAAAGTCCAAACAAAATTATTTTATTGAAGAAACTAACTGGTCATGATAGCTGGCAAAATTCAACTCTAATAAGTAAAAGGTGTATCAGAAGTGAAAACAAAATCCAAAAAGAATTAAAAAAAGAATGTCCCAGATTACTTTTTCTTGATATGTTAACAGTAGACAGCAAGCAAGAGAATTGCGAGGTCAGCCACAAGGTTGAGGAATGATGAATGAGTCAACGTTAGACCACCTAGAGGGCCAGAAAAAGTATTCTATTTCTGGGCCAAACAATTTTAGCTGCTTTCAGTTCACACATTGATATTTTTAATATCACAGGCAATCATACATCAATAAAGTTAATTAAACATCAATACCAGTATTCCCATAATTTTAACCATGGAAAACGAATACATACCTCAAATACAAATTTACCAGAAATAATTTACTTCTGTTTATAATTTCCCTCTCTCATTTGCCAAAATTTCTTTGCTTTACTTTGATCAATTATCCTATTGATAAGTTTTAGAAACTGCACTTTTTATTTAGCTAATTTCTTTGATATACATTACAACAACAAAGAGGTTCTGAAAACTTAATTTTAACTTGGCTTCTTATCTGGTTTAATCTCTGTTCTGGCTCTTGTGTCCTTTCTAGATATCAGTAGAAATTTTTAGTCATTTCAAAGATCATTTTCAACCAATAAGATACCTTGATATGGAATATGAATATTATGGTATCATAGGAACAAACAAATAAATCATTGATGTGCACCTGCATTACACACCAGGGGAAAAAAAGGCTTCCATGCAATTATCTTTGCAGCAGTCCTTGGAATCCAATAACATTCAGGCAATTCAACTTCTTCATGTTGAGAACTACTGATTGGTTGTCAAATGACCTTGAGGACAATACACTGATCAATCAGAATCAACCTGCTTAGTTTCAAATTTAACATTCAATTGTCATTAATTCATGCATTCTCCACAGCAACACCTCAACAATCACGGTCTACATGCCAACTAATCACCACCCTCCTTTTATGCTATATAAATATTTATTTTCCCTTTGAATTGTTATTTTCACAAATTGACCTGATGTTGCAAGGCAAAAGGTTTTGAGGGAAAGTGCATCTTTTTCAGCACTGCTTACGTTCTGTACTGTCAAATTACTACAACTTCATATTATTTGCAACATTTCACAATGTGGTTTAGATGTAATTCTGATCTAATAATTTTTGTTTATAAAACTAATAAATATCAACAAAACACATATTACAATGAAATTCAAGTGCATAGAACTTTGTTTTTTCTTTAATCTGGTTAGTTTATTGTGCCAAAGTTTACAGTAGTAGGTCATCAACTGCTGATTAAGAGTTAATTAATTAAGATTTAAATGCATTCATTTCTAATTAGGATTTTCTCCCGAAACCTTCAGTTCAAAAATTACAAATTCAAAGTAGGCCACAATGCCTCTCTAGCTTGTTGCACCATTCAATAATATTATGGCTATTATGATGACTCCAATTCCTGTCTATGCTTGGTAACCTTTCGCTCCTTTGCTCAACAACAAGCTCACTACCACTACTGTAAAAATATTTAAAGACTCTGATGCTACAATCTGTTGATGAAAAAAGTTCCAAAGGCTTATGACCTCTATGAGGGAAAAAAAAATTAAAACATACCCCTCCCTAGTTCTACACTCTCCCATAAAAAGAAACATCCTTTCTCACTTCATCTTATCAAGATCTTTATATTTCAGTCAAATGGTCTCTAACCCTCTTAAACTCGAATGGTAACAAGCCTAACTTTACAAACTTCCATCAGAAGCAAGGCCACTCATTCCACGTTACTTGCTCTATAATTTTTTCTGAACTGCTTCCACAGTCCCTTAAACAGTACACCAGATATGGTTTCAGCACATCTTGTATAAGGTTGTGTTAGCCATGCTACTTCTGTATTCAATTCCTTTCACTATAAACAATAATGGTCAATTAACTTTTTGAATTCGTTGTTCTACCTGCCTTTTGCAAACTGACACTTCGATCCCTCTGCATCTCAGAGCTCTTAATCTCTCACCATTTTTATAATATGCTTCTTTTTTATTCTTCCTGCCAACGTGAAAAAATTGACATATTTCCATGTTATGATCCCTCTGCCAGATTTTTGCCCACTCACTTAACCTGTCTATGTCTCTTTGTACGCTCTGTACATCCTTTTTACAACTTACTTTCCTGCATGTTTTTGTGCTATCAGGACATTATTGTCCACTAAATTTCTGAATTTGAGTACATAATTGCAGAGTGAGGAATGTAGAGTATTTGGAACCCAAGTGAACAGAACAATCAACCTTAACAAATCAGACAGAAGGAGTGTGAAATCAAGAATGCAAGGACTGAGAAAGAAATGTAAACTGGAAGGAGTGAACATTGTCACATCAGATGCTGAAAGATAATTAAAGAGGGAAATAACTATTAGAACAAAAGATAGAAAAGATAGAAACATCAATTTTAAAAAAAATCAATTTAAATCTTAGTAACCAGTATGTTTTGAGGTACTGGGAAGCTTTGGTTGTAATTATTAACCTGTCTGTCATGCCAGGAGAGGTTGTTATCAGTAATTAACAATTATCACATTAATAAAAGGAACATTATGTTTTTCTTCAAAATCTTATACATGCCTTCTAACAAAATCATTAACTGAGAGAAACTGTCAGCTTGACAGCTGGAAATTCATTAATTTCAGTGTGTGAATCAGTTATTTCACTCCCATCTTACAACAATCAGTTTTGAAATTTACCTCTTACATGTTTTCCCCAATTCATTTATGGATTTGCTATAGGTTCTTTCAGTTCAATTTCAATGAACTGCTTTTGTGAATTGTGTCCAGG